GGCAACTGTAACACACTGCTAAATATTGTGTATCTAAACATAGAAAAGTATACAGTAAAATACAGTATAAAAGATTTTAAAATGCAGTTTATAGGGCTAGAAGTTGTCTTGGGACAGGCTGGTGGTGTGATGGTTGAGGCACTGAACTCCCACATGGCTGACTGTGGTTCAAGTCCTGGACCTGGAGGCTTGCATTCACACATACACTCTCTTTTTATGTCTCTCTCTGGTCAAATTAAATAATTATAATGTTAAAATACATTAAGTAATTATTTTTTTAAAGTTGTCTGAATGAGTCAGTGAATGAGTGGGGAGTGAATGCGAAGGCCTAGGATATGACTGTACGCTACTGTAGACTTTACAAACACTGTGCACAGAGGCTATGCTAAATTTATGTTTAAATTTTTGGGGGGCTAGCCCATAGCTTGGTGGTTAGGGTGGCTGGATCCCACAAGGCTGACTGGGCAATTCAAGTCCTGGACACAGTGGGTTGAAGAATATGCCAGGCATGTGTGCATACATGCCCCAAATCCCAAAAGGATGGAGAAATGGAGGAGAAGGATTACAGCATGACCATTCCCCAATGGGGCCTGATTTCTCACTTCCTCTCTCTCTGTCTTTGTCTCTCTTTGGTTAGTGCAAATATTCACTGGTAAAATTTTTTAAAGATTGTTTTAAATTAACCTTAGCTTACTGTAACCTTTTGCTTTATATACTTTTAAGCTCTTTAAAATTACTGACTTTTATTATAACAGTTTAAAACACAAACATATTGTATAGCTACACAAAAATATTTTCTTTGTTTATATTCTTATTCTATAAGCTTTTTTCTATTCTTACTTTTTTTGCACTTTTTAAACTTTTTTTGTTAAAAACCAAGACACAAACACAAAAACACACATTAGCCTAGGCCTACACAGGTTAAGATCGTATTTTGTTGTACTAAAAAGGCCAAGATGAACAGAAGAACATGAGATGAAATCAATAACAAGAGAAACTAATGCAAGGAAGAGACTTGGTAAGCACAAGATGTATGAGGGTGTTGCCTGGGTAACAACGCACTTTTACAGTAATATTTTTTTCCTGTCTGTAGAAGGAGTACATCCTAAAATAACAATAAAAAATATAGCATAGTAAAAATATTAACCAGCAATATACTTGTTTATTATCACTATCAAGAAGTATGACCTAGGTCAGGTGGTTAAGGTGGCTAGATCCCACATGCCTGACTGCATGGTTGAGTCCTAGACTCATGGGTGTGTGTGCATGCGTGTCCAAAATCCCAAGAGGAGAATGACGGAGAAAGGACTGTGGCATGGCTATACCCCTAGGAGAGTGCGCTTTCACTTTCTCTGTCTCTGGAGAGTGCACATGGCCTAATGCAATATAATAATAATTAACTAAAAAGAAGAATTATAGTGGTCAGTTGGTGGCACTGTGGTTAAAGTACTGGACTCCCACATCGATGACCACAGTCTGAGTTTTAGAATCAGTGTCTTGAAAAATCATGCCAGATGCATGTGCGTGTGTGCCCAAATTCCCAGGAGGAGTGGAACAAAAGGGATTGCGGTGTGGCCATCCTCTTGGGAGGGTGATTTCTCATTTTCTCTTTCACTATCTGTCTCTCTCTCTCTCTGGTGAGTACATGTGTTCTATGGCAAAACCTTAAAAATATCATTAAGTGGCATAAATGAATCCCATATTTCAAAAACACCAGTGGCAGGATCAGCAGATGGGATAATGGTTATGTTGTTGGATTCCCACATAGTCTACTGCAGTTTGAATCCTGGACCCAGTGGCTTAATACTCATGCCAGGTGGTCGTGGGTGTGTGCTCAAAAATCCCAAGAGGAGAATGGAGAAGGAATTGCAGCATGGCCATCCCCCAGGGGTGATTTCTCACATTCTGTCCCTCTGGCGAGAGCATGTGCCCTACAGTAAAATAAACTCTAAAAACAAACAAACAACAACAAAAAAACACACACAACACTAGTGGCTCTCCACCGCCTTCAGAATACATTCCAAACATTTCAATGGAGAAAAAGGCCTCTGTGAGTCAGTATTAGCCTATCCATTCATTCTCATCTATTGTCATTTTGATTGTCTACCACACCCGTAATATCCTTCCAAATAAAGCTATCAAATGCATTTATTGTTTAATTATGGCCCTGGTTTGCACCACATTCCTCTAAGACATCTAAATAGACCATAAACTAAGCCAAAGCTAGCCACTGGTCAATGTGGTAACTAAGAGATGTTCTCTAGTAAACAGGAACTGACTGATGGGACTCTAAGAGGATTCCAAAACAAATCCATGGTAGAGTAAGAAAAAGAAATGGATAGAGAGAGGAGCAGAGATTAAAGTACATAGTTGCTGAAAGGTCAGTTTGCACAGCTATTGTCGAAGAGACAAACTGCTTAGATTCATATTCTGTCTCATAGTCTGGTCATGTGACCTTGCACAAGTTACTTTACTGTCTTTGGAGCCAAGACTGTCAAGGTTCTGATTTATTCAGATCCATCACTTCTTCAGTACTCAATTTACTCATCTGTTAAGTGGGAAGTGTAACAAAACTGACCTCACAGGATTCATAAAAGAAAGAAATAAAATATTACAGGTAAGTCCATTGCTCAGCAAACAGCAATTATAGACTACTTTTTTTTTTTTTTGACAATTGCTCTGAATAATGTCCGTTTTCTGTATCGAATCTGGCTTTTTGACTGCTAAAACTATTTCCTAATTTTCCTTAGTTCTTCATATCATCTTGTTACATCAGGTAACCTAGGAGTGTTTCTGTTCTTTGCTATCTAGAAGACTCTATTAATAATACAACTCATTCTCCAAAAATAAGCCAATCTCTTTCGAATCTCTATACTTTTATAAAAGTCATTCCTTCTTCTTTACATATACTCTATCTCTCCCTTTCCAATTTTTTTTTTTTGTGTTACCAAAGGCATATGTACTCACAAGACAGAGAAAGAGGAAGCACACACCCAGTAGGGCATGGTCATGCCACAATCCCTTATCCTCCATCCCATCAAGATTTGGGACAGACATACACATGTACCTGGCATGTTTTTTGTTTTTCAAACCACCAGAGCCAGGATCTGAACCGTGGTCAGTGAGGTAGGTTTTGGCCCCCCTTAACCACTGCACTATGTACCTGGTTTCAATTCAATCCATAATCAATTCCCCAGAGCTTTCTCAAATGTAACCTGTTAAAGTCTTTCCCAACTCAGCCCCTCCACTACCACCATTACCACTTTGTCTGGCTATTATCTCTCTCATTAAAGTGTAAGCACAAACACCAAAGTGATGTCTTATTAGTCACTGATTCCTCAGAACCTAGTACAGAGCTAGGCATTCAGTCGGTGCCCGTTACCTCATTAATTTTTGCAGAATAAATTGGTAGTATTGCTATTTGAAGAAGATTAATTGAGCAGAGCATTTAAGGTGGCTAGGTGACTATATGATGTTATTTTGCTTTAATAAAAAAAAAATTCTACAACACCTACTTTTATTTTAATAAGAACTTGGAGTTCAGGATCCTATCCTTAGTACCAACTACACTTTTAACCTCATATTCTTCATATTAATCTAATGCATTACCCTCCTTAAATTCCTCATAACAAGGTTCACATAACAGTCAGAAGAAACAAAGCTACTGAAGAAAGGAAGCATCTATCTCACCCTTAGAGATTCACCCAGGAAACAAAACAATCTCAGCCTTCCTTTTTCCATCAGTCCCTTACTGGTGGAGACAAAGTAGTATCCCCAGTAGAAAGGCCCAAATGAAAGGGAACTTTTTACATGGACGAACTGAGTTTATAGCTACTGAAGAGTGGGTACTTCTGAGAGGAAGCACTCATTACTAATTATGCTTATTGTGCAGTTCAGGGATTCTCAAGGTAGAACCTTTTGGTGGCATGAGCACCATCTGGAACCTTGCTAGAAATGCACATTCTTGGGCCCCACCCCTGACCAACAGACTCCGAACTAGGCTGAGATCCTCATTAAACTTCCAGAATCAATGTTTTGCTGAAAATGGAAATGGAAATTAACCAGGTCATAGTTCTAAGCTTTCTTTCTTTCTTTCTTTCTTTTTTTTTTTTTGCTATAGGGTGCGTGCACTTGCCAGACAGACAGAGAGAGACAGAGAGACAGAAAGCGAGAAATTACCCCACCAGAGGGGATGGTCACACGCAATCCCTTCTCCTCCATTCTCCTCTCGGGATCTTGGGCACGCACGCACAAGCGCCTGGCGTGAGTTTTAAGCCACCGGGTTCGGGATGTGAACCTCGGTCGACTACGTGGGAGTCCAGCGACATAGCCATTACGCTAACTGCTGGTCTCAGCTTTTTTTCTTCATAAACTGAAATAACTAGCTGGGTTCCCAATAGCCTGAGAGGGATAACCATGAGGCTGACGAAGGTGATGTCTCAGGACGACCTTTCATTGGGTCTTCACCAGAGCTGGAAGTTGCTGGGAGCTACAGAGTGTTCCAGGTGGAGAGGGGAGATCGCAAGCAGGGAGTATTTCTACATAAGTTTGTGTGAAAGGATGAGACCTCCAAGGTTCCAGTAATGTGCCTTTCTTCTAAAATACTCATTTTCCTAATTCTATCCTAAGCTTATAAAAAAATAATAAAAAATAAAAAGGGTAAGTGTCAGGATCTGGATCCACCCGACCTCAGCGCTTCGTCTTTCAAGCACCTAAACCAGCCCGTGTAAGACTCTTGACATAAACTGGTTCTGCCCACAACTACGAATGTCATCCTCGTTTCCCTTTCAACCCGGTACGTGGTGTCCGAGGTGCTCCGGATTGGTTATTGAGGGCGAGCAGAGCCGCTTTCGGTGTAGCGGGAGACTAGTGAATGACCCGTGGCCCGAGGCGAGGACGACGTGGGAGGGTTGGGAACCCGGCAGCAGGAAGGCACAGCGTCGCGGGCGGAGGTGGGCGATTTAGGAGCTGCAGCAGCCAGAGCTCCCGCCTCCTCCTACCTGAGCAGGTCCTGGCTGAGCTGCTCCGACACCACCGCCTTCAGCCGGCGCCGCTCACACGGCCCCTTCTTTGGTAACCCCTTACTGCAAACTCCAGGGGACCCCAGAAGGCTTCCAGGGGCTGCGCCGCGCTCTCCACAGCGGGCCATAGCCCACAGCCGCCCGGCTGCGCCCGCAGGCCCACTACCCGGCCTCCCTGGCCCGGCCCCGGATCGAAAAAGGGGCGTTCCCGCCCCAGAGCTCCGCTCGGATCCCGCTCCGCCCCCTGGGGGGAAAGGTAGACGCCTGTCCCGTGTTTGCAGACGGCCCCTCAGAGCGAGCGGACTGGGTCCGGGGGGACGCTCTGAGCCCTGCACCGAGGCGGCACGTGACCCGGGCGGGTGTGCGCAGGCGTGCTATCTCTGTTTACCTCTGCTGCCGGCAGCCCGCCCCTCACTGCCCCGGGCGCGGACAGCCCCCGCGGGGCCAGCGGGTCCTCGGCCTGTCGTCCCCGTTCTTTATCTTTGCCTTCCGGTTGGAGTTAGCTAATCATAAGAATAAACGGTTTATTAAGGCCGGAGTTCAAATCAATGCGTACAGCGTTGGATGCTTCGTCTTCTGGCATGCCCAAGAATGGTTCATGAGACCTTTCCAGTGGGGAGCCCCACTCCCTCACCTTCCTGGTTCTCGGTGCTCAGGAAAAAAGTGGGGGAAAGGCAAATCGGGGGTTCGAGGTGAGAAGCACTTTGTAAACTCCCGAATCAGAAAAATCCTGAGTCCTATACAAAGGATATTTACAGCGTCTAAAAGGTCCCACCCTCTTTTTACACAGGAAATGGCTCATAAATCAGCCCCTGGGTTTTAGCTGAGAAAGATCAGATTATATTACACAGTTTTGCACATAAAGTTGTAAAATTTATGACCGGGAAGGGCAGAGCCTTTCACTGAACAGGGTGATGCCCACTAGAATTTCGAATATTTTGGCCACGAAAGTAGCTGAAGTATCATTTAAAAGCTTTTTTTTTTTTACTTCCTCTAAAAGAAGAAAACTCAATAGTCTTGCCTCACAAGGTAGAAAAAAAAATTGTTGCTGGGAAAATATGTGGACTTTGTATAATAAAATTGCCCAAGGAGTCGCTATTTTTACAAATAATGTCCCAAATGAGATACCTTAACTTTCAAAATATAACTGAATGATTCTCAGTTACTCCTGTAGGAAAGAGGGGTGTCATTTGAATGCTAACATTGGAATGCTTATTAAGCAGTAGACATTGCTCTACCTGCTCTATACAAAAGCACTTCAAAATATTCATGGAAAATCCATATTATGAAAAAATATCATGCATGGATTTCAAAATGTTCTTGCACTAAAATAAACTTGTACTTTAATTCTGTTTTTCATGAACTTTCTGCCATCCCCTCACATGTATTGATCCTCACAACAGCCTTTTAGTTATGTAGGTGAAAGGTTTTTACCGGAGTGTTACGGAAACGGCGACCCCAATCAACCACAAAAGTCGGTTCTTGATGTAAAATACAAGAGGCTTTATTGCTAGCGCGCTAGGACTCCACTCCCAGTCATACAAGACATGGCTAAGAGTGAAGCCCCGAACATAGGAGTATTCAGGTTATATAGACATGAGTCCGTGGGATGAGGGGAGGAAGCAAGATAAGGGGTTACAAGGTAATCTTATGACGACCATTTGGTCAGGCTTGCAGGAGCATTTGATCTGGGTTTCCGGGGCTAGCAGAAGGGAGGGATTTTACACTACAAAGGTCTGGGCTAGCTTGCCAGACTAGTTTGCAAATGGCTCGGGGCTCCCTGCAAGGTGTTAACAAATTACCCCAGGTTTCCACAACTTCAGCAGCATCTGCTTTAGTACAGAAACAAAAGAGGCAAAGGTTAGACTTTATCTTTGTAAGACAGGCTAATCTAATTTTATTCTTACATAGGTACTATCTCAAGTTTTATTTATTTATTTTTTAATTTGCCAGAGGGCAAGTGCACTGGGAGTTGGGGAAAGTGAGAAAGCACCCTATGGGGGATGGTCACATTGCAATCCCTTCTCCTCCATTTCCCCGTTTTTTGGGATTCTGGACATGCGTGAACACATGCTCAATGTGTTTTCAACCTGCTAGTCCAAGACTCAACTGCATGATCAACTGCATGGGACCCAGTGCCTTAACCAAATCACTAGCTAGCCCCAAGTTCATTTTTTTTAAATGCAGTTTTTAAAGTTTATTTCTTCCATGCGTAAGACAGCACACCTAACCGAGTTCTGACACCATGATCCTTCCCCAGCTCTCAGCCAACCCTAGATCATGGGCACATGGGTGCCCTAGTATATTCAAGGAGGTCTCTAAGAACTCTCCTATCTGGAATTACCTTATAGACAGCTTTGCATTTTACACCTATACCACTGTCTGGCCTCTAGAGCACAAATGTACAGATAAGGACGCTGAGGCATATCAGAAAGTAGGTGATTTGGTCACTATCACAGCCAGGAAGTGGAGGTCAAGAATTTAAACTCAGGTATATACCTTTTAACTGGGGTATGTAGTCCATTTATATAGACTGTTGGTTAGAATATAAAACAGTATTGAAGTTCCTCAAAAAATTAAAAATAGAACTACACTAAGATTAGCAGTTCCTCTTCCGACTATACTGGATACTCAATGGAAATGAAATCGGCACTTCATAGGAATATCTGTGCTCCATATCCATTACAGAATTATTCATGGTAGTCAAGATACGGAAGCTACTGGGACCAGCAGATGGCATAATGTTTATGTCGATGGATTCCCATGTGACCCACTGCGGTTCTAAGTCTCAGACTTGGAAGCTTGAAACACACTAGGTACATGTGTGACTGTACCCAAAATCCCTAGAGGAGAATGGAGAAGAAGGGATTGTGGTGTGGCCATCCTCTTGGGTGGGTGATTTCTCACTTTCTGTCTCTCAAGCGAGTGCACTCACTCTGTAGCAAACAACAACAAACAAGCAAAAAAACTATCTAAAAAAAATAAAAAGGGTGTTGGAAGTGGCATGATGGGTTAAGGCACTGGACACCCCCACATGGCCAACCACGGTTTGAGTCCTGGACCTGGTAGCTTGCTTTCTCACTTTCCCACTCTCTCTCTCTCTCTCTCTCTCTCTGGTCAAATTTAAATAAGTGAATGAATAAATGAAATTAAATAAATAATTTTAAAAAAGATATAGAAGCTACGCAAGTGTCTCTCAATGCTGACTAGATAAAAAACTGTGGCATGTACTGTGAAAATTAATTATACAAAAATTGAGTCATGTCATACCCAACCAAAATGGAGGCCACAGGAAAAAATACTCAGGTCACTGTTCCATAAACTATCCCACAAACGCAACCCAAAACTTCCAGGGCCTAACCATAACTGTAAGATTACAAGTCTGACCAGGCAACTGGCACCAAACAGAACTCTCAAACTCCAGTAGCATGCTGCTACTGCTAGTGAAATTTCTTTTCAAACAACTTGTGTAGGGGTTGGGGTTCTGGACTCCCACATGGGTGACCTCAGTTTGAGTCCCGGAACTAGCAGCTTATTTTCTCAACTTCCCCCTCTCGCTCCCACTCTGTCTCTCTCTTGTGAGCACACATACCCTATAGCAAATTCAAATAACAATAACAATAATAAATAAAATAAAATACATAATTCTTAAAAGACAAGACAAAATAAAAACTTGTGTATTCCTACTCTTTTCCCAGTAAAACCTGAATCTTTTCCTTTGCTCTGTGGACATACTGGAGACTATCCTGGTCTGTGTATGTCTCAAATTGCAATCCTACTTTTATATATTATTCTCAAAGAAATCGTTTGCATGGAGACTTCTGTCTAAATTTCATGTCGATAATATATACGATAGAATATTATTCTGCGTTTAAAAAGAGGGCTGGATAGTAGTGCTGCAGCAATACAACACCCGGTCAGGCTGACCCACGGGGTGGTTCCTGTCTGGAGTCTGGAGACCTCCCTGAGTATACCAGCAAGTATGTATGCCCATGGTCCGGGGTGAATTAGGGCACGGAGGTGTCTTTCTCTCTGTCTCTGTCTTTCTTGCTCGTGGAAGAAATAAACTTTAGAAAAAAATAGAAGATCCTGCCATTTGTGACAACATGGATAAACCTGGAGGACATTTTGCTAAGTGAAATAAGCCAGCCATAAAAAGACAAATACAGCACACTATCATTTCCATGTAGAATCTTTGATAAAAAGTGGAGTATGTAGAGAGTAGAACGGCGGTGGAGGAGGGGATGGGGAGATAGGAAGTCTAATGGATAGCATGAGAACTATGGTTAATAATATGCTGAATTCTAGAAAGTAGCTAAGAGAGTAGATTTTAGATGTTCTTTCCACACCAAAAAAGTAGCTGTGTGAGATGATAGCTATGTTACGTTGCTTGACTGTAGTAATCATTTCATTGTGCGTGTCAAACATCACTTTCTACACCTTAAATATTAATATTTACAATTAAAAATAAACAAGGGGCCAGCAGACAGTATGGTGTCGGACTCCTGCATGACCAACCACGTGGTGTGTGTCGCACATGCCCAAAATCCCAAGAGGAGAATGGAAGAGAAGGAATTGCAGCATGGCCATTGCCCTTGGGAGGGTGATCTCTAACTTCCTTCTCTCTCTCTCAATCTGTCTCTCTGGAGAGAGCATGCATCCTATACCAAAACTAAAAATAAAAATAATTAAAAAAAAGAAAACTAGAATGAAGAATCACGTTCATGTTTTTCTCAATAAAGCAATATAAGGAAATTTTAATAATGAAACATCATGAATCTCACATGGCCAACTCAGTTCAAATCCCAGGTCTGGAAAACTGAAAAACATTCCAGGTAGATGTATATGCATGCCCCAAATCCTGACAGGTTGGAGAAATGGAAGAAAAGGACTGTGGCAAGACCATGCCCCATTGGGGGTTCTCTCTCTCTCTCTCTCTGGCGAGCACATGTGCCCTCTATCAATTGAAGAAAACAGCTCTGGCAGTACTACCATGCCACTATCAGCTGGTGACAATTAAGTTTCAACATGAGCATTTGGGTAGCGACAAATTCAGGTAATAGTGGATTTTTTATTTTAAAATTCTATTTTCTACATTTGTATATTGAAAAAACTTTTGGTTCTTGGATTGACCCCACAGTTTAGTGATTAAAAGAGTCAGCTCTCACATGGAGGAGAAGACCCTAAGGTGTGACTGCTCTATTGTGGTGGTGGGGTGACTTTCTTTCACTCCCTCTCTCTCTAGTGAGAACACACACCTTCTGGTGATTAAGAAAAATAACCTCTGTTTTCTAACAATATTAACAAAATTACTTATTTGTAGTATGTTATAAGAATTATTAGAGGGGCCGGCAGCTGGCGTGGTGGTTAAAGGTGTTGGACTCCCACATGGCTAACCATGATTCAACTCTTGGACCTGGGGGCTTCCTTTCTCATTTTCCCTATCTCTTTCTCTCTTTCTCTCTCTCTCTCTGATCAAATTATAAAAGAATAATGAATAAAGTTAAAATAAAATAGTTCTTAAAAAAAAGAATTATTATAATTTTCAGGCCAACTGGTGGAATGGTGGTTAAAGTGGCTGGGTACAATAGGACCGACTTCATGGTTTGAAGCCCAGATCTAATGGCTTGGAAAACATGTCAGGCATCTGTGCATATATGCCCAAATCCTAAGAGGACAATAGAGGCAAAGGGATTCCAGCATGGCCATCCCCTTTGAGAGGGTCGTCTCACTTTCTTGTGTGCATGCAATGTTTCTCTCTGTATAGTGAGTGCAAGTGCCCTATCACAAAATTACAAAAAAATAAAATAAAATAAATAATAATAATAAAAATAAAAAGTTATTAGAGTTTCAGAAATATAACATCATCACTACCAACAGACTATTCATGTTCATTTTAAGGTATTTTGCATCTCAATGTGTACATAGACTAAGTTTCACTAAGGATGTATGATTAAAGTACTATGTGCTAGAGCCAGCTAGTGCTGTGGTTAAAGCAGCTGGATCCACATGATTGCCTACATGGTTTGAATCCCAGGCCCAGCTCCTTGAAAAACACACCAGGTGTACATGCATGCATGCCCAAAATCCCAGGAGGAAAACAAAGAAGGGATTGCAGTGTGGTCATCCGCCCTGGGATTTCTCACTTTCTTTCTCCTCTCTCTATCTTTCTGGCAAGCACACACACCCTGTAGCAAACAAATGAACAATATGATTATAAACCATTTTTTGAATGTTTTGGTAGACTCACACAAAATAAAATTTGTCAAAATTGTTGTACTGGGAACCAGCAGTTAGCGTAATGGCTATGTCGCTGGATTCCCACGTAGTCGACCGCGGTTCGTGTCCCGGACCTGGTGGCTTAAAACTCACGCCGGGCACATGTGCATGCGTGCCCAAGATCCCGAGAGGAGAATGGAGGAGAAGGGATTGCGGCGTGACCATCCCCCCTGGGGGGTGATTTCTCGCTTTCTGTCTCTATGTCTCTCTCTGTCTGTCTGGCGAACGCACGCGCCCTACAGTGAAAATCTCTCCAAAAAAAAAAAAAATTGTTGTACTTATACCCTGTATATATACTAGTCAACTTTCCAGAAATTGTAATCCGTTACGATTTTTTTTCTCATTTTAAATAATCACTTTCACACTTTAAGGTGTGTTCAGGGTGGGGCAGGGGGTGGGGTGTGTAGCCATACTACATACCACTGGGTCAGTGGTATTTTCAATGCTATATCTTCATTATCATTTCCAATAATATTTATTTTTGTTTGGTTTTGAAAAATAAGATATTTTGAGAGCCAGCTGGTGGTGTAGTTGTTAAGGTGACTGGATCCCACATGGCCAACTGTGCAATTTGAGTCCAGGCCCCAGTGGTTTGAAAAACATGCCTCAGGAGCTGGCAGGTGGCATGGTGGTTAAGGGCACTGGACTCACATATGGCAGACCACGGTTTGAGTTCCGGACCTGGTGGCTTGCTTTCTCACTTTCCTTCTCTCTCTCTCATACTCTGTCCCTCTCTGGTCAAATTAAGATAAATACAGGAACCAGCATTTAACGTAATGGCTATGTCGCTGGACTCCCATGTAGTCAACTGCGGTTCAAGTCCCGAACCCGGTGGGTTAAGATTCATGCCGGGCACGTGTGCATGCGTGCTCAATATGCCGAGAGGAGAATGGAGGAGAAGGGATTGCAATGTGGCCATCCCCCCGGGGGGTGATTTCTCACTTTCTATCTCTCTGTCTCTCTGTCTGTCTGG